AACCAAGTATAAATATAATAAGGAAGTGTTAAATTGTAGTTGACTTCCAATTTTATGATGGATATATTATTAAAGAAAAAGTATGATGTAATAGATATTGTATGAAAAAGTTACCCCGGAGTACATAACATATTGTAAAGAATATGAATAGAGTTTTTTTGCACTATTTACCTTTGAACTTTTCAAAAATTGCACGATTTTGTCTCGAGCTTTAAAAACTACACCAATATCCCTAAATTTTTAAAAATGTTGCACCCATGATCCCTTTGGGCTAGATTTGGAAATGTGTTAATTACACGCTCATTTAATGAAAGTGTAAATTATCTTAAGTCATATATCACACACGAGTCTTGCAATATACGATCCTGAGATATTATTTTATATAAATTTAGCCTCTTTAAGCCCTAGATAATAATGATTCTCGGTTTAATAGTTAGTAACCAAATTTGAAGGTCTGACATCAATCGATAAAATTCTTCATCAATTGATCGACATTTTCATGTATTCATGGCATCTTCGTCAAGCTAAGCTCCAACATGTATACAGATTAGCATATGATTAAGCTAAGCTCCCTGGCTAAGTTCGACCCCAGACCTTACCTGGACGGAGGGAGCTCGAGCGCTTCCGAAGAAGAAGAAGAAGAAGAAGAAGATGGACAGGGCGACCAGGATCCGGGGGCCAGCTTAGCAACATCCAAGGCAGGCGAAAATCCCAGCTCGAGCATCTAACTCCTCTGTCTCCCCTCTTCTTGTTGCTTTTATTCTGCCCTTCAGCAATGTAAAGACTTCTGATTTTTCGGAATGCCTTGAGGTTTCGATGCAATGTTCTCATGTTGGATGTGATGTTTAACTCGTCTTGATCATCATGCGCTTTCCTTTTTCTGTACGTGATTACTATGCTCCTTAATTTAGTTTAGCTCGTTAACATGGTTTGGGCCCAACTTTTGACCCTGGCCCAGCTGCATGTCTAGGCCCAGCTTCGGGATTTGCCAGCTTACTCCAAATGCTCACCGGTTCTTGAATTGTTTTGTAAATATCTGTGAAAATTTGAAAATCAACCCTTCCCTTGAGCTTTTCCTCCATATGTACGAAGTCTTGCCCGGGACTAGTAACTGCCCAAGCTTCGTCTATTTCCATTCTCGTAATAAGAGATCTTTTGTGACCGGTCTTCCCCCTAGTCACAAAAGATGGAAGAAAAGATTTGTTTTTGTTGAATTCCCCCGTGACCAATTTCCTCTCTCAAACCCTGAGTGGGCTGACCGGGTTATAAAACCTGAAAGGGTTCAACCGGAGCCCACTAAAGATCTTGAGGACGCCTGCGAGAAACTTCTCAAGGGTGATCCTGTGACCGGGAAACCTTATGCCTACGGGGGCTGGGTATTCCGGCTAGCTAACCCGGATGGGGGTGCGTCTGCGACCCATGACGCTGAGGATAACCGGGCTGATTCCCCGGATGGTCACGCTGAGGCCGGCTCTCCTCATCCAGGTTGGTTAATTTTCCTCAACCTTTTGATTCCACTTTCATTTTGACAAGGTGTAGAATCTAACCGGTTACTTTGTTCTTTTTGGCAGACATGAACTTCAACAGGATGACCACCATCATTGAGGATGACGATGATGATGTCCAAGTCCTCCACTCCAACCGGTCTCCTCTCTCTAACTCTCCTTCTCCTCCTTACTTCCCTGGAATGGATGGGGCCACAAGTGCCCGGTGTAGCCCTATCCATGAGCAGAGCCAGAAGCTGAAATCTCCTTCAGCCAGGCACCATTCTGAGGTTGACCGGGCTAATCCCCCCAAAGTCCCGGTCCAATCAGGTGCTAAAGAGGTCGGTGCATCTTCCTCTTCAAAAGCCAAGGACCAAAAAAGGAAGAGCTCTCATAAGAGTTCCAGGGGAGGCAAGAAGAGGAAGATTAGCTTATCAGACAGGGAGGGGGAAACCATCGAAGAAGCCTTCCTATCCCTGGCCA